CAACATATGTTTCAAAATTTTTATCAATGAGATATATATGTATCATTGCATTATATAGTATGATATTACATATTAAAACAAACTATATTTGTTAATATTTTAATTCTATATTATATTATTCAATTAAATTTCATTCTATATTATACCAAATTTTTATTTTAAAATAATTTAAATTAATAAGTATTAAAATCCCATAACCACAATTAAATATAAATATCTGAGTTTTAGGACACATTTGAAGTACAGTAAAAAAATATTACAAACAAGCATTTCAAAATTAATATTCAAAAACGAAGGATTTAATACTAAAAGATAAATAAGTCTGTTTAGTTGAATTTTATTAAAATTAGTAACAATCCCAAATTTATTTCTAGACTTAACAAAGATTAAGTTGCTATTCGTATATGTGTACACAGAATAAAATATTAATTATTGTAAAATTGATTGATAAAGAGTACATATTCATATAAAATTGACATTTTATAATATTTTTATTTTTATTTACTGTATTATTATATTAATGTTATTTAAAATATTGAACAATTGAATAAATATTGTTATTCTTTTCTAATATTAATATCAATGTTTTTTTAATATTTATATAGTGACAAAAATCAAAATTTTCTTCCTTTATTAACAACTATACTGAATCCATATATTCCATATAAATGCCTGCTAATAAACGTAACGTTTATTCATAAGTATCGCATTATGAATGGATGAACTTATTAATTAATCAGATCTATCCTGGTTTAATGGACTTCTGCTCCCATTGGCTCGAATAATTGACGTTCGTATATGGTTGATAATATCTATCGATCTAAATTTCTAGATAGTACTGACAGTTTAGTTAATGAAACTAGTTTCATTAGTGCACACTGTTTATATACCATTCCAATGCAATTTGATTTCTAATAAACAACGTTTTTCGTATGAATAACGAATTCGAATTTGCATATCCAGTGCATATCTTGAATATCACATGATATATCGATTTCCGACATGAATAGTCGATATACTATTGTACGAAAATAATAAAATCAATTAAGTAACACGAATAAATATAAATTAAACGATAAGAATAAGAGATTATTAGTATAGGAATTAATTAATGCGATAAAATTAATATGTGGTACTAAATAAATACCAAATATTAATATGACGTGACAGTTAGTGTTGTATAAAGATATAAATCAAAATGGTAAATTGAAAATGGAGGCTGTGGTGGCTGAAGGGTGCTACAGAATGAAAATCAATCGATTGAATAAGAATATCAATTTCTTTTCAACGAATATTATAATTATTAATCGAAGATTGTTGTATTATTAAGAGTTATTACAAAATAATTGTTTCAACGAAGACCAATATTTTCTTTTAAATGAATATAAAAGAAAATTTTGTGTATCTTATAAAATATTATTATCTTATTTGTTAATTTATTTTTCATTTATAATTAAAATATCTGTAATTATATTTAGCTACAGAAATTCAAAAAATGAGTAATAATATTGAAACAAAGGAAGATAAAATTTGTACAATCGTATATAACCTCTAAGACTGTTATCCTACATTTTGATTCGGAAAAGGAAACAAAATGGCGATTGTTTGACGTTCCTATTAAATCTCTCTAATAAATATATCGTATCATATATATTTATATAATTAATATTGTCCTGGTCGTATTTATCAATATTATATTTTAATATTTCAATAATAGAATATTTTAAAAACTATAACTATTAATTTTTTTAATATACTAATAAATTAAATAATAATATATTCTTAATAATATATTCGATGTTTACACGTGAAATATAGTTCATGTACGTAATACAATTATACTTAAAACGTGTTATATCATATTTACATTTTTGCAAAATGGTTAATCGACAATTAATTTGTTAAACTTATGACTTTATTAAGCTGTCGTTATTCAGATATTTTCTGAAACGTGTGAGACAAAATTCACAAAGTATAACCTTCTGATGTTTCACTTGAAAAGTATCATCTCTGAAATACACTGGCAAGAATGCTTGCTTTGAGACAGCCTTGAATCGTATGTATGTTTTAAAATACCTTTGAGGGTAATGTAGAAGTACTTCTGGAGCATCTCAGCCGATGTCTCTTTCCATTGAAATGTCTTTGAAATAAACTTTATGAAACACGCGGGGAATCTTACTTGGAAGCATTTGTAATATAATATGCTTACATAGAATGGTTAATATCGAGTAACTTAAATGACTCCCCCCGCACTGAATAATTGAAGCCTCACAAAGCGATTACTGATTATATTATCGATATAATTTAACACAATTTATATACCATGGATAGAATTTCTGCAATATTCTGCAATATTCTCACAATATGCAGTGAAGATTAAATTATGAATTTGAAATGCGTAAAATAAATTGTAAAATAATATATATTGCAGCAGATTAAATTATAAATTTATTGAGCCATTGTTTCCAGTTACTCGAATTATTTGGAGTATTATTTTAATTATTATAGCGTTATTTATATTATCGTGGAATAAAAATTTCTAAAAGATAGTAATTAATCGTTAGTATTTTATATAGCTGGATGAGAATAATAACATTAACCTATTCATAAAGGTTAAAGGTATTGATCATTGATGGTTTTGCAGTGATCAGATTTAAAAATTTTTAGAAATTATTTCTACGTGCTATTACGATTTATATTTACTGAGTTATAATATTTATAATAATTCTTTAAATTTCTCATTTTTAATGTTTTATATTTATATAATTAATAAAATAGTTTGTAATATTCTATTTAATTAGTATTTTATTAATATTAATCATTTTTATTATGATAATCTAATATTTCTTTTTAATGTAATAACATTTGTATCGTAGAATGAATCATTTTTTAATATCATTTTCTAAAAATGTATTCTTTTTTTTATTTATTTAATAGTACTTTATTATTACTTATTTGTCATTACTTTTTTTCATTAAAATATATTACTTCTCGTTTCAATTGGGAATATTTTTCAGCATGTAGCAATAAATACAATTCCGATTCAAATATTAGAGAGCACACATGAAATTAATTAAACCGAGCAAGAAAGGAAAAAGAAACTAAAGCTTGAAATCAGCTTTACAAAATACTGGAAACAGAATAGCAGGATAATATGAAATGAATTTATTAATATATTCTCCAATGTTACTCTGAAAAAGAAGTAAATCACTTTTAAGCTACATAATACAATTTATTTTTTAAATAATTCTACAAAGCAGTGCTTAAGTAATGCAAATATATTGCAAATATCAATTAATTTTATATTTTATACTTCATGATTAATATTGATTCATTCGATTGTAACTTCAAAAAAAAAAAAAAAAAATAATAAAAAACTAAAAATAACACTAACGTTCCGCTCGTTTTTTCCAGGGAATATACTGTTACGACAAACCTTTATCCAATATTGCTACTGTAGCTTGCGAATCGTGCACAGAATAGCTATTTTATCGAGTCTACCTGAATTGAGGAATATAGTATACTGTTAAAAAAGCGAACTGCTACTGAAAGAGTTATTACTCTACCTCTGTCGCTTCTCTTTCAGAATTCTTTACAATTTGTCATGGTACATTCGATAAATTCTTGTTATAATTTTATGACTCTTTCTAGCAAGTTTTATATGTAACACGTATGTTGTTTGGAAAGAAGATTAGTGGACTGTTTCCTGTGTAATCTACTTGGTAGCTTCACTTCCCACAGCTTTTTAGTCACGTTGCCGGGGTGATTCTCAAGCCTTCTTTTATATCCAGTGCACAGACGTTCAATTTCTTCTGGCACTGATCTTATCCGAAAATAGGTGTAATGATACAACGTTTCGGTTAGGTCAATTTATTAAATGTTGCATAATAAAATGCACATCTTTATACATAATGGATCTTACATAGAAGATGAAATAAAATTTTGTCTCATTTTTAAAGATTTTCTATTTATTATATTGTAGGATGACGAGGACTGGTTTTGAGACACGAAAAATTGACAAAACAACAAGAACAGAATAATCAGAAAATAACGAGAACACATCAGAAGTCATATAGAACTCGAAGAAAACACATCAGAAGTCATATAGAACTTGAAGAAAACACATCAGAGATCATACAGAACTCGAAAAGTGTTGGGTCCCGAGCACTGCAACTCGCAGGGTGGAAGTTTCATGGGGTTGTAAGGCCCATTTACACAGATGCGACAATGTTGCTGGGATGCGGCCTACTCTAAATTAGCACTATGCCATCCAGTGGCACCACGTTGATATCATGCGCAAATGATGAGTCAGTCCTACCGGTGCCAAACAAAAGAATCCCGATTAGACGTGAATAGTGTTAATAGAGCTAGACCTGGTTAGGGTTGAACAAAAGAGATCTGATGTGTGACTGTCTCTCGTGCCGAGTTAATCGTTGTGGGTCCTGGCTGATAGTCAGGTCGTGATGCTTGTCCTGTTTTCGTGAGATTTTTAGGAGATCGCTCCTCGTGACTCCTGTCTCGGTGGTTTTATAAGTTTTGTCTATCTACCGATTGGTTGGTATGAAATGTAAATGATGGATGTGTGTCTTCCTATTGGTAGTGAATAATATTGGGGGTGTGTGATAGCTTCAACGTCCTTCTGTGGTGGTGGAAGTTTAAATAATTGAAAAACACAATTGGTATTACATTATTCTCCTTTTCTTCAGTAATATTCTGCATTTTGAATGTTTTGAGTATCATTCCTAGTTTGGTTTTTATTAAATTCGTCCCGTTATCTTCGCATAGGCACCCGTTTTTCTCTCGGCATTAAAATGGTTAATATTATTATAGATAGAATATTAATCGATTAATTAATAATATTAATATTGTATATAAATATGTTAACTTTAACGTAAATGTTACATAAATAAATAAGTAATAATGTAAATAAAATATAAATAGTTTAATAAAATATATTATCATTGAGAAATCTGATGGATGGTTACTATCATCTGTTGCAGAATTTGGTACATGGGTCTTTGTTGGATACTACGAGGCCTGAAGCGGCAACAACAATTAACGGATCGTAGATCGCGATGGTTAAAAGAAAAATATCTTCAGCTGTATTTCGAGGAAGGGTGCCTCGAACCAATGACAGCCGATGCTATTAGAGCTTTTGGCGGTCGCGATTGGTCCACGACTGAAAGTATTGGCACTCTTTCGCCAACGAGTAGCAGCACTCTTCGCAAACGAAACGTTAAACGGAAGAAAACGAAATCCATCGGCAATATTCACGCGTTAACAAAGGTCAGTATAGTATACAAAATTAATAATAATCAATTCGTATAGCGATTAATTAGCTTTAATTTAGCCTTTGATATGCAAAAATTTAAGACATGGGAATTTGTTATTATATGAAAATATTTCATTAACGCACGTCGTGTATGGAGCTATTGAACTCCTAATCTACTAAATAAATGTGGAGTATTACATGGTTGCTTCAATTAAAGTATATAAAGTACTCAATTATTTGATTTAATTGAGATAGCAGTATTGAGTAGTAATATTCTGAGCAAAAATCCTGGCTAGTATAGTAGTATCCTGAGTAGATAGTATTAACTCTGGCCAAAATTTGTTTGTTAAACTCAATTATACTTATTCTTTCATTATTTTCTACTCTATAATAAACAAAGGTTTAAATTATTATGGTTTTCGTTTCTACTTCATATCAAACTTATTTGACAACCTAGTTCGTGCCTATATTGTAAATATATTGTTAATATAGCACTTTATATTTAAAAAGTTATAGCAATATTAAATAATTTCGTATTATCGTGTTTGATTAAAAACTTGTTGCCAGGGGTAGTAGTATCCTGAGTAATGATACTAAATAGTACTATTCTAAATAATAATAATGAATAGTGTTATTTTGAGTAATAGTACTAACAATAAGTAGTGGTGCTCCGAGTAGTAGTACAGAATAATAGTATTTTAAATAATAAGTAGTATTTTGACTAACAATATTAAGTAATAGTACTCCATGTAGTAATACTCAATACCTGTATTTTGAGTGGTAATACTGAATAGTAGCATTCCTGGCAATAATACTAAATAGTAGTACTCTGATTGTGAGTAGTAATATGGAATGATAACACAATGAATAGTAATGTTGAATTGTGGTATGCTGAATAGTAATACTAAATAGTAGTAACATGGAATAATAATACATTGAATAGTGATGTTAAATAATAATAAGTGGTATTCTGACTAACAACATTAAGTAGTAGTACTCCGTGTAGTAATACTGAATACTTATACTTTGAGTGATAATACTGAATAATAGCTTCTGGTAATAATACTGAATAGTAGTAATATGGATTAATAATACATTGATTAGTAATGTTAACTAATAATAAGTGGTATTGTGACTAACAATATTAAGTAGTAATACTCCATGGAGTAATACTGAATACTTGTATTTTGAGTGGTAGTACTGAATAATAGCATTCCTGGTAATAACACTAAATAGCAATACTCTATGTAGGAATATGGAATAATAATACATTGAATAGTAATGTTGAATTGTGGTATGCTGAATAGTAATACTGAATAGTAGTACTCTAAGTGGTAATATGGAATAATAATACATTGAATAGTAATGTTGAGTTGTGGTATGCTGAATAGTAATACTGAATAGTAGTACTCTAAGTTGTAATATGGAATAATAATACATTGAATAGTAATGTTGAATTGTGGTATGCTGAATAGTAATACTGAATAGTAGTACTCTAAGTAGTAATGTGGAATAATAATACATTGAATAATAATGTTGAATTGTGGTATGCTGAATAGTAATACTGAATAGTAGTACTCTAAGTAGTAATATGGAATAATAGTACATTGAATAGTAATGTTGAATTGTGGTATGCTGAATAGTAATACTAAATAGTAGTAATATGGAATAATAATACATTGAATAGTAATGTTGAATTGTGGTATGCTGAATAGTAATACTGAATAGTAGTACTCTAAGTAGAAATACTAGATAATAGAATCCTAAGTAGTAACACTAAATAATAGTATCTTAACCCTTTGGCTTCGGCACTTCAGTCCGTTGAAGTACCGTCACTGAATGGAAGCACGCGTCAAAATATGCACAGTGTGATATCTGTGTATTTCTGTACGTCTTCCTAAGTCTTAAATAACAACTTTTGCAAGCTTATTGTCAGCCAAATCCTAAATGCTGTTACCTGTTTTCTAAATCAACGGCTAAAGAATGCCTCATGTCTGGTGAGCCGAGGAAAATAAATAATTGTTCGTAAGTTACATTGAAAATGAAGAAAATAGAAGACACGGAACTTGAAATAAAACAACAATTAGAATTTGGCTGCCAGAAGACCGTAACGGGTCTTCTGGGTCTGGGGTTTGTCCCAAGATGGGACAACGCGTTTGACTTAATAATTCTAAACAACGAAGTCTTTCAAACCTTCGTGTAAGCACGTACTCACATTCTTCTTGATTTTCCTCTCATTTAGACCCACAGAATCTTCCCAATAAACCACCTCTAGTTTATAAACTCTTCCAAATAAACTAAGAAAAGAGAACCTCGTAATCAGATACGGATAAATCGCACGTGATTATTTAAAACAGGATTTGAGCCTAAAACAATACGACTCTTCGTCTTCGGATGGAGGCTTATCAGCGGCCCCTCTTCGTCACATTACGGGTAGCAGAGAATCCTTGACGAGAATCATACCAGCATCTCCACGGTCTAGCAGAGATCGAGTTCCTCCGCGCAGCCCCCCTGGATCCGCCGAACGAATTATTAGTTCCAACCTGCCTTACTCCAGCTTTCAGAGGTAAGGGATATTCCGATAATTCTCAGGGTTAAGAGGAATCTGACGGTGAGGAGGAAAGAAAAGTAGCGAGTCGACATCGACTCTAGAATTCTTCATAGTTCTTGATTACTTCCACCCTGCTGATTAATTGCACGCTATTACTCACTAGAGCCTGCAGCATTAAGAGGTAACGACCAGGGAAATTCCTTGCACTCGCGTATTTGTAGCAGGTTCCCCCTGTCAGGAGCTAATTAAATCGCGGAATTATATATTCCTATTTTCTCGTGTAACTGATGGCGCAGATGTATCCCCGTTGCTGCCTTTTCATCGACGAATTTAATGAAATTCTTCTGATTTATCCTTAAATTTTAGTCGCCATTTTGGGTGAGTTTCGTTGAGAACGGTGTATTGTTTAGATTCTTTTGTTACTTCGGTATTGTTTAAGATTCTCGTATAATCTATATTTGTTTATTGAGAATAAACAGCGAATGTTTATGCGTATATGTGTATATTTTTGTACGAAATTGGTAAATTTATGGAAATTGGAAGGTTGTTTTTGTAAATAGAAATGGCCACCAATATCTTCTACGTTTTTTAACAGTTAACACATTAGTATATTTAGATAAAAATATCCAAATAATGAAAACAACTCGCAATAAACTATTTTAAACAAGTAATTGATTGACACTTTCTAGAAAATTCTTCTCTCTTTCTTTCACTTTTATTAACTGTTCCATAAACATGTTTCCTCTTTGACGATACTCACATAACTGTTTTATTCTGGCACATTCTTCTAAACATTTCTTCAAACATCATTCATACTAGACTGCACTCGCACATATTATATTTGCACACATATAAAGCCAACACTCATACTTTTGTCATCAGAAAATTCTGAAAGAGAGTTTATTTGGATTTCCTTATTTTTGTACAAATGCATAACTTATTAGAAAAATAGAAAATATTAAAGATGAATAAAGTGATAATTTTAAGCTGTATTTTTAAGAAATATTGGTATATCTTATTTTATAATAAGAAAAAATTAAGATAAGATGTACCAAGGAGTTTCTAATTTTACAGATTAAAATAAAATATACCATTTATCTTATTAAAATAAGAAGATTACTAGAATAAGAAAAATCTTATTAAATTAAGATAATTGGTATATCTTATTTTAATATGTAAAATTAGAAACTCCTTGGTATATCTTATTTTAATATGTAAAATTAGAAACTCCTTGGTATATCTTATTTTAATTTGTAAAATTAGAAACTCCTTGAAAAGCCATAAAAGGTATTATCACAATTGCTCTGCAACCTTATAAGGGACAAAGAAATAATAGATTCAGAAAAAATTATGCTATACTGTAAATGATATTGGATGTTACAAAATTCATACAAGAAATAATTTTGATAGAAAATACAGGTTTTTATTTCAAATTTGTAAATAATTCTCAACAATGAAGACGCGTTGTTCCTTCGTGTAGCGCTCTATTTTTAATAACCCTGAACTGTCAGCTGTCTTTTCTTTTCGTTGGCAACATTTTATCGCATAAATGGCGTAAAATTCAAATCTAGCGTGAATTTTGGGACACCCTGTACTAATATTGTATAATATAATTTGGTAATATATTATTCTTTAACATATTATACTAAACTGTAGTATGATATGTTACTATAATATAGTACAATATATTATACTTATATTATATTATATTACAATATATGTACAATATATTATAATACATACATTGTAGTATATTATATTATACTACATATATAGTACATAATATAAGTACATAATATACTACATATATAGTATAATATACTATAATATAATATATTATACTACAGTACATTGAAGTATAATATAATATATTACTGTACTGTTTAATATAATATACTACATATATAGTACATATATAGTATAATATACTATAATAAAATATATTATACTACAGTACATTGAAATACAATATCATTTATTACTATACTGTAATAATATAATTTACTAATGTGAACTATAATAACATACTATAGCATACTTAAGAATGAAAACATTTTTGCTATCTACCTTGCATACATCACTATACATATATAATATATATACGTATACCTACATAAATATTCGCTGTGTACTTAGTATTCTAAATACTAGATACGTAATATCCCAATTCGTACAAAAATGATTGTAAATAAATTCGCAAGTATCGCAAGTATCAACGGAATCAATTAATTATCGAGAACTATTAATACTATATTGCCTGGACGAAAGTTTAATCTCTCCTCCAGTTTACATCTCTCCTCCTTCTCAAACATTTTCCTCTTCCAATTACATCTTGGTTCACGACACAGCTGACACCCGTTCTAATCTTCAAACTTTTAGTCTCCGTGATATTTTGCACGTACCTAACATCTATTAAAGTCTCTTCATAAGGTCTAGCGAAGTAATACGTGCCTTCTTTCGAACGATATTCACATAGCCTATTGTGCGTCGCCAGAGACAGGGATAAGAACGGATCTGGAATGTCAGGTGGAATGGAAGCACCCTGGCATGTGAAAACACGCACCACTTCCATAATGTACGAAACTCAGCTGAACTTCGTCGAGTTCGTCGCGTTGTTCCGGTCGTTCAGCCTGAGAGCAAGAAAGGATCTGCGCGACTTATTCGGCCAATTGGCGATCACTTGCCGTAGCCAAAGCGACGGTTCTTTGAGGGACTTCAATATACGACCGCCTGTGTTGAGGCAGACCAGCGATGCGACCCCTCAGCGAATCGGTTAGTTACGCCATTGACTATTTTTCCTTATAGATAGGCCTTTCGTTAGTAAAATCGATTAGTTCGACAAAATGAAAAATAAATTTTTGGAAAATTGATTGTTTCATTTTCACAATGATAGAAATAATATAATACACTCTGCATTGAATCTTGCTAAAATTTTATCAAATTTTTAGAAGTAAAACTCAATCGATCATTGTCGACAGAATGATCGAACAATGATGTTTTAAGTATCGATCAAACAGCCTGATATAGAAGTAGTCATTCATTATATGTGGTATAGTTAGTTTCGAGTAACTGTTGAGATATACTGGAGTCACGTGATCCTAGAAATATCCAAGATGGCTGAATACTTTCTGAGCAGGCTTTGTAATACTAATAGAGGTTAAGATAAATTAACGTAATCTAAATTAATAAACATGGTATAGTTAGTTTCGAATAACTGTTGAGATATACTGGAGTCACGTGATCCTAGAAATATCCAAGATGGCTGAATACTTTCTGAGCAGGCTTTGTAATACTAATAGAGGTTAAGGTAAATGAACGTAATCTAAATTAATAAATATGGTGTAGTTAGTTTCGAGTAACTTCTGAGGTATACTGGAGTCACGTGATCCCAGAAATATCCAAGATGGCTGAATACTTTCTGAACAGGCTTTGTAATACTAATAGAAGTTAAAATAAATAAATGTAATCTAAATTAATAAATATGGTGTAATTAGTTTCGAGTAACTGCTGAGATATACTGGAGTCACGTGATCCCAGAAATATCCAAGATGGCTGAATACTTTCTGACCAGGCTTTGTAATACTAATAGAGGTTAAGGTAAATGTTAAAATAAACGATGCACTTAGGAAATAAAATGGATTAGAGTGTAATATAAATTGGTAAAGTTCTATTATTGAAATTCATATTTAAATGAAGCAATCTTTTTATATAAATGGTAGAAGTAATTAAATAAAATTGAAATCGTTCATCAGACAAGAAAAAATTTCGATATTTATTTGAAAATGTATCATTTCTGTATTTATTTAACCTAGGTGAAAAGTAAAGTTTCCAATTTTGATTTTCGTTAAATTGAACGTTTGATACTTTCAATATTCAATGAATTATTCATGAACGAAAAAGAACTGTGTATTTATCGCTTTGATATCCTATTAATATCGACTAAAATGGGATTAAAGTAAATTATTCTTCGATATATGAGTAATCTTCGTAGCAGTCATTTCCGTGTACGAAACTTTTCTCATTATCGAACTCCGCGACATCTCTCGAATAAAGTTAATCAAACGAAGCAGATTACTATGTATTGCAGTGACTTCATAAACAAGTCGTTTAATATGTCATTTAATACATTCCATCATGCTCTCTATTTGAATTTTGCTTAATACGTCCATTCTCTCGTATATACATTGGTACAGAGACAATAATTTTGTATTTCATTCATTTAATTCCTATTTTTTCTGTTATTTTCAGAAATATGAAATGTCTTGTTTAGACGAAGTATTAAATATTTTACGATGTTATGAGACTGTAATTAACAATTAAGAATTTTATGATTTCTAATTAATCGATGATTTCTTCTGTGCCACACAATTTTTGTAAACAAAATTGTTCTTCGTCTCTAAAAATAAGGGAGTTTGTTGAAATGGTGAAAGAAATAAAGTGTTTAATAGGTCAGTTAATAAGTTAATATAAATATCGAAACATTTTTCAAAAAATAAATATTACTTGAAAATAGTATTACTTCTACCATATTACGGCTTATTCTATATTACTCAATTTTTTTAACTTTTAAATACAAAAATTTCTCTTTATCCCTAAAAGTAAAGGAATTTGTTAAAATGATAAAAAGAATAAATCGTTTAATAAATCAATATAAATATCGAAACACTTTTCAAAAAATAAGCATAACCCAAAAATGGTAATTACTTCTGCCTTCTTATGGTTTTCTCCATATTATACAATTTTTCTAAATAAAATTTTTCTTTACCTCTAAAAATAAGGGAATTTGTTAAAATGGTGAAAGGAATAAATCGTTTAATAAATCAATATAAATATCGAAACATTTTTCAAAAGATAAACATAACCCAAAAATAGTATTACTTCTGCCATATTATGATTTTCTCAACATTATACAATTTTTTTAACAAAATTTTTCTTTATCTCTAAAAATAAGGGAATTTGTTAGAATGATGAAAGGAATAAATCGTTTAATAAATTAATATAAATATCAAAACATTTTTCAAAAGATAAACATTACCCAAAAATGGTAATTACTTCTGCCATCTTATGGTTTTATCCATATTATACAATTTTCTAAATAAAATTTTTCTTTATCTCTAAAAATAAGGGAGTTTATTAAAATGAAGGAAATAAATCATTTAATAAGTCAGTTAATATAAATTATGGAATCATTCTTCACCAGGTCTCTTGACGAGGAACAACTCCATAGACTGTCACGAGTACAAATCCAGCAGCAACCTTCAAAAAAAGCAAGTTTTTGACGCAGTGGCCGCAGCCAGCATCGTTAATAATTGTTCCGGTGTGGACACTTCGAAATCGCAAGTTATTACCCTGGCCACGTTCACTAAATTTTTGGAATCTCGACAACAAGAAAAACTTACCGACGACGAGATCAAGGCACTGGTCAAGGTATACGAAAATTCCCATTCACCTTTATCTCTTAAACTTTGACACACTTCTAAACTATCAGCACAATACCTTTCATCCAAATAAATTTTCCTATAGTGAATAATTAATTTTTAATTTTTTCCTTTGACACTAAAATTAACGAATTTTAAAACCAGAAACCAAAGGCAGAGAAATTGATTATTCGCGAATTATGGGAAATAAAATATTCAGTGCATATTCACTGATACGTTATGTTTATTTATTTAAAATTATTTATTCGTACGAAGTTTGCAAATAACCGAGTGCATTGAGTAAATGTGAGATATACCCTGTTGTAGTTATTAATAATATCAATATTCGTGTCAAACAAAAGGTGAGGAGTTTTGGAAGAAATATTGTGTGTCACACTTTGGACATGATTTATTTTCGTGAAATTATTTACTGTTTGCATGTGATATTGGAACATTGCAAACATAAACTGTGGTACATTATTATTATATTAATATTATTATTATTATTATTATTATTATTATTATTATATTATACATTATATTATGGTTTATTAAACTTGTGTCTAAATGATGTATATACACGACTACAACTCAAACAGTATAATAGAAATAAATAAGTGTCAATCATTCTAGTATCTCGATAAAAGTCAACAGTAATTCTCAGAGTGATATATTTTTATTGCGAATATGGGGCTTTTAGTTAATAATCGAAATTTATATTTTTATAATTTTGTCAAATAAATTAGACTTATGACACAATGCCCAATCGGACCACTAATCCTGTCTGTCAACACGTATCATTTATCTCATTTAATAAATCAGAAAATTAAAGCATTTTAGCATATCAAAATATACAAGGTGACTTCGAAAGATATATACAATAGGACACCATAAAGAGTTTTTCATAAAAAATATAGAACAATTTTAACATAGTCTTCAAGAAAATCGAGTTTGGAAATTGATTTCTGTTAATGCAATTATTGTATAGCCATTAAGATTCGATTTATTGTGTTTATAAACAATGATCATGCAGTATTAAAAAAGAAAAGAAAATATTTTACCAAGAATATTTTACTATTTTAATTTCAGAATTGCTATAACTGTCATCCTCATTGTGAATAAAATTATGCTCGTCTAATTACAAAGAGGACAAAAAAAATTTCCAAACCCAATTTTCTCGAAAATTAAGCCCTAGAAAGAAAAGCTGTACTATATTTTTTTCATTCTTTTTTTTTATGGGAAATCACCTTGTGCTCACTTGTATCTATCTTCCAGAGACACCCTATGTAGTATCTAAGTACATTGATCAGCAGAATTAGTTTGCATTTAAACACATTTATCGAACATTTATCTTCATTAAATTCAAAGCAATGTCTGTCAATGATTGTTTCATAACAACGTCAGATTCCCATAAAATTATTCCATGGTAAACGTAGAAAGTAATACGTGTCTCGTCGAGAGACGTGTATCGATGAGTCATAGGTCAGGATATTCCCCTAGACCAACAAACCGCATGGCATATTCGATTGCTTCGAATTAGGATGTGTAACAGTTATGGCATTGGGTCGTTATCCTGAGGTTACGCTGTCATAGTACAATAGCATACAAAGATACAGCAAGTAGCACAATCAACCGAGACGATTTGCTCTGATTCCAGCGACACGAACCGGACCCAGGGCTACGTACACAATGGTGTTTGTCTTTCGAGGGCTTTGCACGGTACATGATGGACAAGGACAATTATGCTTTCCCAAACGAGTACGCGACACCGTCCGAGACTGAAATGCAACAGCCATTGTCCCAGTATTACATCGCCAGCTCGCATAATACTTATTTAACCGGCCATCAACTCAAGGGAGAATCCTCGGTGCAGCTTTACTCTCAGGTAAACCGTATTCTTCGTTTAGTCTAGATTAAGCAACGAGTGTTTGGCATATTGACATTTTTCGTGGATCAAAGTGTCCCTTTCCTTGTTTCGATACGTTATTCCGTTACATCGAGAACGGAGTAGGAAATAACGCGGCGTAGATGGCGCTCTGGAGTTCTTGCCACAAACTTATATTATATTCTTTAACTATTAACTATATATATGTACTGGATGAGTCATTTGACTATACTACCTCAAATTATTTGTAAATTACATATTTGTTGCATAGAAAAATGTTTAAATAATTATTCGTGCTCTATCTGTATAAAAATCAGTTCATACCCTGGAACTATAACGGTAAACTGTTTTAAAAGCACCCTTAATTGAACAGTATTGTTGAGTGACATTCGTGGTCATGGTCGAGGCTAGGCGTGCCTGATTATCGGGTGTATTGAACCATTCAATGCCGGATTATCGGAATTCTACTGTATTACATTGTTGTGATCAATATTCCGTGTCACGTCATGCCGTTTCGCGTTATGTTGCTCAGTCAGATCGCGATAAGAAAAATTCGTTTGATTCAACGTAACTCTTTGGGACACGGTATAAAGAGTATCCTCCCGTTTAGTCGATATACATATGTAAGTGCACGAAATTTTAAAAGGATTTGACCTAATTAAAATAGGTTCTACGAAATGAATCAATTTTTTGATTATTATTCGTGCAGACTTATTGACAAAAATTAAGAAACTAATTAATAATTTGTACATATTTGTATAATCTTTATTTTTTGAGGTATGTGAATGTATATATTACAATTAAAAATAGACTTAATAGAAGATAAAATTATTCATAGAATGTTTAAGTTTTAAAATTAAATTTAAATATAATACTTATTTTTTAAATTAATATCTTAGGTGATAATGAATATACAAAAATTCCCAAATAATTACCTCGTTTCTTTAATTTTATTAAGAATTGTTATTCTTTTGTGAGTTACTGTATATTTGGGGAAATGAAGAATGTTGCAAATTTGATATCTTATTATAGCAATTTTCGACGTTTCTTATTTCACATATCTTATTAAGCATAAATATAATATAGCTATGATATATTATGTAATATAATTATTCGAATTCTATAGTATATCAAACAAATATCACTTGTATCTAAATATCGATGTCATATTTTTGTTTGACAAACTAAAGGGAAAGGTGTTAAAGGGGTTATAACGAAAAGGAATAGTAGTTAATGGAAACAGTGAAAAACTGTATAGATTTTTATTGAACGAGTGAATGGTTAGAACTGGTCTGTTTAGGGCCACGCAAGTCACAGGAAGTCTCCAGAAAACAGGAGATAAAAGACAAAACGCAGGGAAAGGGATCGCCCCCACATCGCTAGGATATAGAGTCTGCTTTACTATTTAATTTTACTACAACAAAAGGGATTTGTAAATCCTTCCAATTAAATAATTAAATATTGCATTTCTTAAGATCGGTTGAGAAACACTGTCTCATTGCATTACAGAGATTTTACTCGTGTATTTCACAAAATATCTTTAATATGTATTCGTAGAGATAATTTTACTGCAACAAAAGAGATTTGTAAATCCTTCCAATTGAATAATAAAATATTGCATTTCTCAAAATTGGTTGAGAAACACTGTCTCATTGCATTACAGAGATTTTACTCGTGTATTTCACAAAATATCTTTAATATGTATTCGTAGAGATAATTTTACTACGACAAAAGAGATTTGTAAAACCTTCCAATTAAATAATTAAATATTGCATTTCTTAAGATCGGTTGAGAAACACTGTCTGATTGAATTACAGAAATTTTACTTATGTATTTCATAAAATATCTTTAATATGTATTCGTAGAAATAATTTTACTACGACAAAAGGGATTTGTAAAACCTTCCAATTAAATAATTAAATATTGCATTTCTTAAGATCGGTTGAGAAACACTGTCTCATTGCATTACAGAGATTTTACTCGTGTATTTCACAAAATATTTTTAATATGTATTCGTAGAAAGGTATAACCAAATTTGTATAGCCTTGGAATACTTTCGTGAGCCACTGTATATACTGAAAATTGAATAGATATTAGAACCTCTCGCCGGTTATAGAGTAGATATAAAATCAATGGAGGAAGCGGAGGTTAAAGGAGGAAGCTGAGGCGTTCAAGGTGGGAAATTTTATGTAATGGGAGAAGCGTAGAGTCTGCAATAAACTAATAGACTAGGAAATTAAGGACCTTGGAATAATGGATATTGAGGATGGCTGGAGTTACGTTCGTGTTTAGGGTTTTATAGAGGGTATATGTGGCTGGTTGACGATCCTCGTTAATCCTGCGTATGTGACTCCTTCAGGTCTATGAATTAGCCCAGTTAATAACCGTTTAGAACCCAACAAATGGTATATATATGCAATAAATGGGGAGCAAATGCATTAAAAGTCGTTTCAATTGAAAATTGAAGTGTTAAAAATATTTGAAATATCTAAAATATTAATATGGAATAAATTTATAATTATTTAAATTTTTATCAAAACTAATTTGTATACTTCGTAATTGAAATCTTTTTTGTGATATCGTTGCTTTAGAAGATGACTTATTATATTCGATTAAAACAGGCACCGTGTATATATTTATACAGGGTGAATCGATAACTTTGATCGCCTTGATATCTCCATTATTTTTGGACTTATAGAGAATTGTTGACGAAATTTGTTTACGAAAATTGTTTGTTTAATATTTGTTTCTTTGTTTGGTGGCCATTAACATGGAAATATAATTTTCTTGCAAGTGAAATAATTCTGAGAATTGTACTACAGTAAACAGAGCACTCGTTCAGTATAGTAAAGAATGTTATAATAAAATATAGTTTATTATTGTAAAATAATATTTAGACAATTTCTGTAATCTTCTATGAATTGTAAATGCAGATATTTCATACCTAAAGGTCGTAGAAATTCACATATTTTTAGAAATAACAAAAAGATATTCAAAATAGTTAAATTTATTGGTCCACCCTGTATGTTTATATATAAATATAAATACAAACGAATAGTAAGATATTAAGCAAAATTAAATTAACATGTCTCCAAAAGAGATGTATAAACATTGAAAATTATTATTAACACTATTCTTTTTCATTTTATTATTATTTTACATGAGAAAATTGAATGATCTTATATACTTTTTATTTTGAAATTAATCATTTATTAGACGGATTTCCTTCGTTTCTTTTTATTATAATATATATCACAATTCCATTATAATGAATGTGCTTTCCAATAATTGTACCAATTATAATTGAAAGGTTTTAGTTTCCCAGCCAATTAATCGAAATTCGAATATTACCAATAAAGCATTATACTGCATCAATGAAATAAACAATATAAAATAAATAAACCCATAAAAATATCATACAAATAAACAGGAATTAATTTTCAACAATTTCAAATGCAATTTTTGTTACACAATTTTCCAACATTATGACTATTCAAATTTTACCAACAGAATATTATGCTACATAAATTAGAATAATAATAGAAAATAATAAGAAAGAAAGAAATTTTTAATAATTTCAAATATAATTCTGCTGCACACAATTTTCCATCATTAAAACTATTCTTTCACTATAAAAATCTGAACACATCCAATATCTTTAGCTACTAATAGATTACTATTTCAGGAATTATGAACACATCCAGATTACCTCATTCATAATTTTTTTTACAATTTTCTATAATTTAAAATATATTTTACCATAAAAACCTTAATAAATCCAAAATTTTTAATTACTAATCGGTTACTACTTCTAAAATTATGAATACATTCAGATTACTTCACTCATGAATTTTTCACACAATTTTCCATCATTGAAGCTATTCTCTTACTCTAAAAATTTCAGCAGATCCAAAATCTTTAGCTGCTAATAGATTTCTATTTCAGAAATTATGAATACATCCTAATTACTCTATTCATAAGTTTTTCACACAATTTTCCATCATTTAAAGTAATTTTTTACTATAAAAATCTCAACACATTCAAAATCTTTAGCTACTGATAGATTACTATGTCAGAAATTACAAATACATCCAGATTACTCTACTCGTGTAATTTTTATACAATTTTCCATCATTTAAATTATATTTTTACTATAAAAATCTTAACAAATCCTAAATTTTTAACTACTAATCAATTACTGCTTCGAAGATTACGAATACAATCAGTTTTTCATTAAATTTTCCATTATTTAAACTATATTTCTATTGTAAAAATCTCAACACATTCAGAATATTTAATTACTAATCTAATACTACCTCAGAAATTATTAATACATCCAGATTACTCTACTCGTGTAATTTTTATACAATTTTCCATCATTTAAATTATACTTTTACTATAAGAATCTAAACATGTCGACGAAACTCATCGTCTTATATCTATGAGTACTATTAATCACTGACCCTTTAGGAATTAGAATTTCTAAAATTATTAGAAATTAGAATTTAAAAATTAGAAACGTGTCAAAATTATACTTGATACAAATGGCAAACCTTCGAATAAGTCTTGGTCGCGAGACGTTAAATAGGTTTCGAAGTGTTTGCAGTAAATGAAATCTTTGACATAAAATGCTTCACGTGACGGTAATTTCGTTTTCCAGGTACTACTAACAGGATGTAGGTGTGTAGAACTCGATTGCTGGGACGGCGATGATGGCTCGCCCGTTATTTACCATGGTCACACCTTCACTACCAAGATACCATTCCGCTCGGTCGTAGAAGCGATTGACAGAAGTGCTTTCGTCAGTTCCCCGTATCCCGTGATTCTCTCGATCGAGAATCATTGTTCACAGAGTCAACAAGCTCGAATGGCCCAAATATTTCAAGTACGTTGTCTCTTATTGAAATATTTCATGCATTCTGCTAATTGCGTGAGCTCGTGCAACCTGCATTGCGTTGAGTGCCTGTTGAACACTGACACAGACAATTAATTAATTTTTCATTTACTTCTTGCCCGTTATGACAGTTCAAAATTACGAATTAAAGTTCTAAAATAAATTTGTCCATAAAATTACCACTGGCTAAAATATCCTGATATATACTATACACATGGGGCATTTTGTTTTAACCTTTTGCACTCGAGAGGTGATCATCAGTCCATTTCATAAAATTTGGAAGATCGATATTAATTAATATATCAAATTTAATGCAATGCAACAGTGTGCGAGGTATCGAAATCAAATAATTCTACAATTCTGTTATTATACAATTCTTTATTTACTGCTCAAAAAATTATCTTCAGTATTTTAGTAGAGAATCTCTGAATTTCTATTTTTCTCTAGCCAAAAAATCGTCGAGTGCAAAGGGTTAATTGCGTCGTATTTTGAATACCTTCTGAATCAGTGCTTGTCAAATTATGGTACTTTGAGTATTTCCAGGTGATACACGAGCTGAATTCAATTTTATAAAATTTTTAAATTATACTATTTACTATTTAATAATTTCTATTTGCAAAGTGGTATGTGATTTGATTTTAAGAAAGGTTGAGAACCACTGTTTCAGATTAAGGGTTGCTTTAAGAAATGTTTTAGATGGAAATTAAATGATTTTAAAGGACATGTAACATAATGAGAGTAAGCTTCTTTGGGGTAGTATATAAAGGTTTTTTATGGAATTATGTATTTTTTAGTATACTAATTTATGTAAATTGTTATTCTATATGATTATGTATTAGGTCACTTATAACAAAAGATTATTAGTTTAGAAGATATTTTAATTTCAATATTGGGTAGTGGCATTGATTGACGTCAGTACCAACACAACTATTAGATGTCACGCATGTTAGCTATATTTAGGTTGAGCACTACTATCCAATAATAAAATTAAAATACTTTCGAAACTGATAATTTTTTACTATAAGTAGCTCGATACTTTATATGTTACAGAGAATAATTAATTGTATTTATTAATGTATTAAAAAATATATAATTCTACGTAGTAGAATATATATATGTCTTCTACATAGAAATATGAAAGAAAGATAAAAGAATATGAATCCTGAGTGAGTTTATGACATTTTCGTAAAAACGTATAAAATTGTTGGAAAATATTGTAATGAACGCGAAATGAGCTATATGGTTCCCGAAATAAAGGTTAATATAGGGTGTGCTATTGAAAAATATTATATAAACAATTAGGGGGTGATTCTTCGTTAAAAAATACATAAAAAATATGGAATAAATTTTGTTCATCCGAAGCTTAGTTTCCGAAAAAATTAATTTTTAAAATTTGTTGGGTATATATACATTTCCACAATTAAAATATTATACTTAATTGATGAAGCATAATATTAATGATAATGTTCTTTTTATGATTTCATGAATCTAGTGTTTTACAAAAGTCATCTCGTGTAGGTTCATTTATGTCATTTCATAATAAACTATACCCAATGAATTTTCAAAATCGATTTTCTCGAAAACTGCATTTTTAGTGAGAAAACGTTATTCCACATATTCTATCCATTTTTTCACAGAGAATTACATTTTGTGCACTTGACAAAGTTTATCTCAGTTTTATGTGCAAGTACACGTATACCCAACAAATTTTCGAAATTGATTTTGATGAAAACTGAGCTTTGAATGAAAAAACGTCATTCCACACTTTTTATCCATTTTTTTACGGAGAATCACATTTGGTGTACTTAACAAACTTTATCTCAGCTTTATGTACAAGTACATGTATACCCAACGAATTTTCGAAATTGGTTTTCTCGAAAAATTAACCACTTGCACTAGAAAGACGTGCCACACACGACGAGATGTTTTTATTCCAAAATCGCCAGCGACGTGTCGCGCACGTCGAGATGCTTTTGTTCCAAAATCGCCAGCGACGTGTCACGCACGTCGAGATGATTTGTTAACCAGCGACGTGTCACGCACGTCGAGATGATTTGTTCCAAAATCGCCAGCGACGTGTCACGCACGTCGAGATGCTTTTGTTCCAAAATCGCCAGCGACGTGTACACCACGTCGAGATGCTTTTGTTCCAAAATCGCCAGCGACGTGTCACGCACGTCGAGATGATTTGTTCCAAAATCGCCAGCGACGTGTACACCACGTCGATAGGTATTTATCGCAGAAATAAAAATGACGTGTGCTGCACGTCGACTAACAACCAGATCGTTCATTTCTCGACCTACAGTTGCAGAGTGCACGGTGTCGCATAGTGTCATCGATATCTTGGAAATATTTCAGAATCGATACAGTATCTCTCGGCGCCAATGTGATACCTTACGCGTGTTATACTGTAGCGCACGGCACCGCAACCGTGAGTTTATTGGTAGCGCAAGTGGTTAAGTTTTGAGTGAAAAGATGGTATTTTACATTTTCGATTTATTTTTGTATAAGAATTATTAATTTCATCATTTCTTTATTATTCTGAATAATTAATTATTATTCTAATTATTCTTCTTAATAATTTCGGTCGCACCCTGTATAAAGACGAATCTTCGATAGATAACTATATCCCTTTCTTTATTCCTTTTCTTTCTTTTTCCATAATATACTTCAAGTTTCCTGTGATTCGTATATTTTTATTACTTTCCCGTGATATTTTACGCGACAGAAATATTCTTGCCGAAGAAATGAACTTTGCGAAATAAAGTTACGTGGGCACTGTTTCAGTCTGTATTTGGGGATAAACTAGTGACAAAGTTCTTGTTCGAGACCGACTTCGGTGATGACCCCCAGCTGCCATCGCCGTCACAGTTACGCTATCGAATATTAATCAAAAACAAGAAACTGGTGGTAGACCCTGCTGGTCCTTTGGCCCATGCTCCCTTGAGTCATCGTGGAAAAATGCTTATGTCCGATCGTGCATCATCTATGAAGCAGATGCGCACCGATGTAAGCAGTGCCTCCGTCGTTGAATATTTCAGCGAGGATGACGACGATGAGGAAGATGACGACGAAGATGACAATATTGATGGTAATTTTCAAATATTTTTTGGTTAACCCTCTGCTCTCGAGAGGCGACTCTCAGTCGCCATTTAATCAGATTCTAAAGATGGTTGTTCATTAATATCTCGGATTTAAAATTACCCAATGACGCGTGGAATATCGAGGTAAAATAATTCTTATTGTTAACACATTGAGCGCCAGCCTCATTCGCTTGTTTCCGAACAACGAGTAGCTAAGAAAATATTTAAAACTTATACATTTTCTTAAAATACTATATTTTGATTGCATATTCGTCATTCTGTGGACATTTTGCTATTACTAGAATCATCGAAATCACTCGAATATCGTAATGGAAGAGCTCTTGATATTCTCCTTGGACCCAAATCGCTATCACTGTCCTCGACTTGTGTGTCAGAAGCTTTTGAATGTATCGAATAATCTGATAGAGGATCAGCAATATACTCGTTAAAAGCTTCGCTCGTATTATATGGGTAAAAAGTTACAGAATAATAAGACTTATTATATTGTTCAACGAAAAGCGTAAACCTACGAAAGAGGTACTAACTACGGAATACACTGCTTGAGAGTGATTCTTGCTTTGATTGTTTCTGATCCATCGTATACGTTTTATTTTCGGAGTATAACAAATGCAGATTGTCGTAAACGTGGCAAGTGAATGCAAATTGACGTGTAAGACATCCATACAAGCAAAAAAATCCTCATCATCGTGAGAGCGAGAGTCAAGTGACGAACTTAGAAACCCGCATTAACGCGAGGCCGGCGCTCAAGCGACAGACTCAGAAGCCCGCGTTTTCACGGGACCGACGCTCAATGTGTTAATCTGCACTTCTTATTTACCGTTTTGAAAATATTGCCGACTTTATGGCAGAAAGTCTTTGAATTTCTATTTTCCTGTAACGAAAATATCGCCGAGTGCAAAGGGTTAACACTATGCCGTCCGGTGGTACCACGTTGGTGTCATGCGAAAACTATCGGACAAATGCCAGTGACACCACATTGGTATCATGCGCAAATAATGAATCAATCCTACCGGCCCCAAACAAA